AGCCCATTGATGGTGTGCCCCACACACAGACCCCCCCCACCCTTCCCACCACCCCGCAGGGCGCAGACCCCACCGCCTTCCCCAAGCCAGCCTGGAAGAAGGTAGAGAAGAAAGGTTGAGAGAAATGTGCCTGATGATAACGTCAACCACCGAAGAGTCATAACTCATCGCTCCCGACGACTCTCAGCCTAACGTGGCATTCCCGCAGCGCTGAGCAGGTTTCGGCAGGGTCGACCGGTTTTTCGGCAGGTCAGCTCGTTTTGGTCATGACAGATGTAACCGGTGCGGGCTTACGCCAGTCATTTGCACCGCGTCGGTGACTGATGTGCGTTACCTTCAATCCATTGCTCTTGGCATACGTGTGCTGCAAGTTATTAGGAAAGCAACTGGCCTAATTGGGGAGATACGAGGACAATTATTGAATGAGGAGCGAGCAGGGGGAGATGCTGAAAGGTTGGGCTTGGCACAGCTTGCGGGAGGGTGCTGAGCAGCGAGAGGGGGATCTGCCCCAGCACGTAGCTCTCACAGGGCCAAGAAGAATTTCGGAGCACCTTGGAAACCTGCGTGTGAACAGACACACGGATCCACCCGGCAGCGGTCATTAAATTCCCCAAAGGAGCTAGGCTGGTCGCTAGGGCCGTTGGTGTTGCAAATTCATGTTTAACATCTTAACATAAAGCTTGGTCTTCCAGAGCGCACCGCAGCTCTTGGCCGTGGCACAGCACATGTGCACAAACCGCTTTGATGTCGGGGTCCCCATCAGGTGCGGGCATGGGGTGCAAGCAGGGACCCCCTGGGCGATGCACCCATGCTCGGGGCCAGCTCCTGACCCCGTTTGGGTGGGGAAGCGAGTCATCCCCTGCGACGCTGCCCCGACCCACGGGGTGCACTCAGGGCTGCTCCCCTGCCCCGGCAGCAATCACTTCAGGTCACTAATGACCCCCCATCCCTGGGGAGTACCCACCAAATTCCTCAGCCGTGCTCTCCAGAGCCGGGGTCCAGCTCCTGTGAGCCGGGCGTTGGCACTGCTGGTCTGTCTGGGGGCATCACCTCCAGCCGGCCGCCCACCCTCCTTTCTCTGCTCGAGTGGCCCCAGCCCTCGGTGGGTGCTCTCGGCACCCACCCCCACCATTTAGCAAGCTAAAGGCAGAACAGAAGTGTTTTCACGGGGCTGTGCTGCAGGGTGATGCTTGAAACAAATATCTGCTCTTGATTTTCCAGCTGGTTGATCAAAAGCCTTGCACCGGGCACTGAGCCCACCCAGCCCCTCGCTGTTCCCTCCACCGCGCAGTGCACTGACAGCTCGCCGGCAACGGGCCGGGGTCTTACCCCGGCTCTGTCACTATAAATCCGGTACGTGAGAAGGGCAATGCTCCACGTGAGCACGGGAAAGAGCAGGTGGATATTGGTGGCAGCAGCTTCAAGCCCATGCTGACAACGCCTGGGACAACTGTGCCGGTGTCGGAAGATATAGGGATGTCTTTGGCTGCGTGCCTGGGGTGGCCGGTCCCCCTTTCTTCACG